GGCTCTACCTGTAAATCTAAAGGTGACCGTGCCTTCGCTGTTTAGCCCAACCAAGTTTTCCCATTCACTCAGATTCACTGAATGTGGACATTTATTTGCTCAAAACTCTCTTATTTATATATTATGCCTTTTAGATATCCTTGTTTGTTTTTCTCATCTGTCGTGTCTCTTTTAATTTATCCCTCCCTTTTGTTTTATCTTCCTTTGTTTGTTTTACATGCTCTCTATGTTTGTGTTTTTTTTGTGTTGTTATGTTTATTTATTTGTTGTTTGAAAAGCACTTTGGATCTCTGTGTCAAAAAGGTGCTATATAAATAAAGTCATACTTACTTACTTACTTATACAGACAATAAAACACTTCCATGCAGTGGAGTTATACTTTCACTTTTGTCAGTACAGACAGTCACTGACCTATAGTGAATTCTGTGGCTGTATATAGTATAAACCATTACTTCTGTTGCGTCCCAGACTGTTCCTAAGTGAGTTTGAGAAAAAATATGTTGATGAGGCCAGACCTTTTGTATATTTTACACTTGAACTCTTTCTATGGTACAAAGTCCTTGTTTCTAACAATTAATCTAGGATGATAAAGATCCTTAATATTCCTGTTCAAATAACTAAAACATCAAATACTGATCCATTTTGAAATGATTAGATAACAATTATCCTTCATTTCAAATATATGTTATATGTTTGATACAATGTTCCCGCAGCTATAGATTGTGTGTTATAATGATATATATGTGTGCTCTAAATGCAGACCTAGAAAGTGATAATATCTTTTAAAAATAGAAGTAGAAACATATAGAAAAGGCAAAAATAAATATAGAAGACAACGTACCTGCTGCACAGACAGTGTCGGTCATTTAATCAGACTTCACGACCAAAGTCTGTAAATCATTGACAGGATGTGTCCTTAACTCACCCTGGTTGAACTGCAGCTTGTACATGCATTCATTTTTAGTTTGGAATAGAAATTGGTAAAGAACTTCCAAACTTTCAAGTTTACCCGAGCAGTGTTCCAAATGAACTGGGTTGGGTTTTGTCATTGTTTTTATAAATTATTATTTACTTAGTCATTAAATATTGGAATAAATGCACAAAATTACAGTACAATCCAAAGAGGTGATACATTTGCATATAGACAGATACAGACAATATGCAGAATGTTAAGCACTGGATCTTTGACAGATTGTATTTGTTATTTTATTATATTTTATATTGTTATGACATAATATAATATAATATACTGATTTGGATACAGATTCATAAACTTGTATATCATTGGATTTTTCAGAATACAGGTAATTTTGTAAAATTAATTAACTTATAAATAGAACTTTATACAGAGTTTTGGGATTGTGTAGTTTTAATAACTTATCTCAGTTTTACTTTGAGTGTCTTTGCAACGCTGAACTTTGAGCCTGTTGCTAGATAACTGATCACTAGTATAAAATATTACAGCTGTAATCAAAACCACATGAGCAATAACAATGTTTCTTTGTTGCCTTAGGAAACGGAGACTGTTCATGAGGTAGTTGTTAGTTCTGTTTTGTAACTGCAGGAGGCAGAACAGGACATTTTACCTATAGTTTATACAATAACATTTCTGTGATAAATTAGAAGTCTAAAAATAAATCTGAGATAACCCTGATGATGCCATCAGGGGTAGACAACTCTTCCAGAAGCCATACAACTGTTTTAGCAACCTTAGTAACACTCCTTGTCCATAGAACTAGAACTGTCCCCTATCTATAACACTGGGATTGCATTAGAAAGGGTTTTTTCCACAGCCTGTATAAAGAGAAGGAAAAATAACAGTGAACACAAACAGTTTCTATGTAAAAATGGAGATGTGAGCATTGCTTCAAGACTGACTTGAAAAATTGTGAACCTTATTTTAAGATGACAAAGAGAAACTTGAGCTGACCGAAGGAGCAGGGACCCTCCTTGAATGGGTGCTTATTACTCTGGACTGTCAAACTACTGTATGTTAAAGCCATTGTGACTCTGGCTTCAGCTTTAGCAGCAACATCAGAAGTCAACTGCACAGGAAGAGGAAGTTCTCGCTTACATACTTAGGTTGTATTTCAGTTTGATGTTCAGACAGCAGCAAGACAGCATGGAGGTCACATCTCTCTGCTTCAGACTGTGTGAGTGCTGAGTCTTCTTTTTCTACATTTTATACATACCTGTAAATCGAAGCATCTATGG